GCTCAGCGGCATAAGCGCCTGCCTTGCAAGCAGGCAGTCGTGAGTTCGATCCCTGGTACCGATAAAAAAGAAAAAGACAAAAAAAAAATTAAAAAAAAAAAAACCCTACACAATTCCCCTTCGGGGCCCCTCCGCACTTGTTTGCCTGGGGGACCCCATGCGCATGGAAATAAACTTTTTTCCCTCACCAAGAATTGAGTCCTTGGGGTCTCTTTCCCTGCGGCGTCGGCCCTAACAATCACTACTCGAGAATAAAAAAGTAGTTTAAATAATTGGGATCTGGGGCAGAGATGTTTTAAGTGTAGAGGCATTGGACCCAAATCTGTTTTATTTTTCCAACAGGTTGTGACCAAGTAGTTCAGGCTAGCCTCAAACTCATCATAATCTTCCTGCCTCAGCCCCCAAAGCACTAGAATTATAAGTATGTCCTACCATGCTTGGCAAGAAATTCCAATCCGAGAGTGAAGGAGCAGGGCGTTTTTTGTTTTTGGTGTGGCACTTCTGAAGAAATCCCCAAGTCAACAGGCCATTTTTAATGTGTCCATGTAGGACTCTCACACTTAGGGCCCCATAGGACTAGACATCTGAACTCTGAGGGAGTCCTGTAACTCTGAGCTTATGGTCCAAGGCAAAGCTAGCCAGAGGTCTGGGTGGGAGGCTCAAGCAAGTTATGTAGAGCTGCTTGGGGATTGAGCTCTGGGAAAAAGGGACCTGCTGTAGGCCTCTAGAGGACAAAGGTACAACCAGGGAATCTCCCCGGAGAGCTCAGCATCTCTCCCAGATACCTTTCAGCCAAGTCACTTCATTTCTCACTGAACCTCTTCTACTAGAGATCTTCCCTAACTGGTAGCTGGACTCTGCTTCCCAGGCTCTGATCTATCAGCTTGGCAGGATTATCCACATCTTTGCGCACCCATCCACGACATGGAAAATGCCACCAGACTCTACATGGGCCCCTCCAATCTCAAACCAAACACATTCTGCCAGAACCAGGTGAAGAAGCTGCAGAGCCCAGTGCAAAATGAAAATGTGTTTGCTTTTTTTTCAAAAAGTAGTAAAAAGTTCCAACACATTCCTCCTAAGATAGTCCTTCTGAGCTCTAGCCCTGTATACTTGTTTTCACCAAATTTCAGTTATTTTTGGGAATTGGCCACCTCCAGGTCACACCTCTGACCTCTGTTCACATCTTGTTGTTTATTTATTTATTTATTTATTTTTGAGACAAGGTTTCACTATGCAGTTCAGGTCAGCCTTGGATTATGTAGCCCAGATAGGCCTTGAACTCACAGCAATCCTCTTGTCTCAGCTTCCCAAGTGCTGGGATTACAGGCATTCATTATATTATTCTCTAGCTCCCCAACTCCAATCAAAATAGCATCTTATTGTGTATTATCCTTTTGTATGACAATTTATATCTATAATGTCCCTCAAAAAGCCTATGTGTTTAGAAATATGGCTTTTATTTTTTGGTCTTGAGACAGGGTCTTGCTGTGCAGTTCAGGATGGCTATGAGCTCACTTTGTAACCCAGGCTGTTCTTGAACTTGCAATAATCCTCCTGCCTCAGCCTCCTGAGTGCTGGGATTACAGGTGTGTGCCAACATACACAAATTTTGGGTTTTTTTTTTTTTTTATCGGTACCGGGAATTGAACTCAACACCACGCGCTTGCTAGACAGATGCTTATGCTGCTGAGCAAAATCTCCAGCCCTTGAGGTTTTTTTTTTTGAGACAGGGTTCACTATGTAACCCAGGCTGGCCTCAGACTTGTGGCAATCCTCCTGCTTCAGCCTCCCAAGCGTTGGGATTGCAGGGGTACACCACCACTCCTTGTTTAAATCATATATATACTGGGCTGGGAATTTAGCTCAGTAGCCTGCCTGGCAAACATGAAGTTGAGTTCAATCCCTGGTAATAAAAAGAAATAAAAATAAAAAAAGTTATATTTGGGGGTACCAGGAATCAAACTCACAACCTTGAGCTTGCCAAGCAGGTGCTGTGCCATTGAGCCCAATACTGTATATTTTAAAGAATCTGTCAGTTTTCCAAACTGGCTGTGAAGTATATTCCTACCATTGAACAAGTCTGGCACACTTTTTTAAAAAGTTAGCTATACTTGAGGTATACAATCTTTTTTTGGGATACCAGGGATCGAACAATATATTTTTATGTGTATATACATTGTAAAATGAATACTGTAGACAAGCAAGTTAACATACATATTACTTCCATATTTACTTTTTTGTATGGCAGGTGCATCTAAAATATACTAAGCTAGCTAGGCATGATAGTGCATGCCTAAAATCCCAGCACTCAGGAGGCTGAGAAAGAATTGTTGCAAGTTTAAGACCAGCCTGGCTACAAAGTGAGCCCAATGCCAGCCTAAACTGCATGAGAGCCTATCTCAAAGACAAATAAATAAATAAAAATTACATATGTGGCAAATTTTCAGGACACAATACAATTTTTTACCCAACAAGTAAACTCGGGTGAGAAGTCAATTTTAGGTTGACTTCCACCTCCAGGTGGCCTCCAGCCATGGAGGGCATAGAAGCTGACTTGTGTTTACTGATTATTTTATTCAGTGGGAAAGATTTCTTTCTCACCTTCAAACTAGTAAAGTACATTGCAGAGTAAAAAATAGAATGTGAGTTTTTATTTATTTATTTTTGTTTTGTTTTATCTTATGGGTACCAGGGATCGAACTCACGACCCCCTGCTTGCAAGTCAGGTGCTTATGCCACTGAGCTAAATCCCCAGCCCCAGAATGTGAGTTTTTAAAGCATAGTAATTCCTCCTGACTCAACCTCAGGTTTTTATTTTATTTAAACATCTTCCATTGAACTTGCTGTCTGTCACTTGCATCTGATCTTCCAGTGATGACAAAGCATCTCCAGCACAGCCCAACCATGGCCACATTTTAACCCCACCACATATCCTTGCAGGCCACTGTCCCATCAGTTTTTGCCTCAGGATAAGGAAGGCCTAGTGGGCCTTACTTTCCTCTTCCTCGGGTTCCAAGTTACATGTGATGCTGAGAATTAAAAATTTTTTTGTACCACTGGACCACATAAAATTTAACTCTTTGTATTTATTCCTTTATATTGAGACAAGATCTCCTAAGTTCAAAGCTGGCCTTGAATTCTGGATCTTCCAGCCTCAGCCTCTTGAGTAGCTAAGACTACCAGTGTGTGTAGGGCCAATGACTTCTTTGTATTTCCAACTAATGTTTCTTATTACTTATTTTGATACTATCTGGCATCTCCCAATGGCCCTTTGGATTTCCTAGGAACCTGGCACCAGAGAGGGGTCTTGAAATTCATCTGACCACAGAAGAAGACATGTACACACAAGTTCATCAGCAGGCGTGGCTGCACATCAATCTGTAGAGGCCTTAGCTAGTGTGAGTCAGGACCCACAGTGGATGACCTATAAAAACACTAGAAACAGTTCCTCTCCAAACAGTGGCTACTGTGTGAACTGCCACATTTACCGGATGAATTTACCAAAAAAGAGCCAAACCTGACCAAAACAGAGTAAATCTACATCCTCCCTCAAGAATCTGAACAGATTGGGGCTGGAGGTTTAGCTCAGCGGTACAAGCGCCTGCCTTGCAAGCAGGCAGTCATGAGTTCGATCCCCGGTACCGATAAAAAGGAAAAAGACAAAAAAAAAAAAAAAAGAATCTGAACAGATTCTACACCTTTCCTCAAGAATCTGAAAGAAAGCATAATGTCTCTTTTCAGGAGTCAGTTTGACTTGTGCTAATGGCAGCAGGGACTAATGCCATGAAGGGCAGTGGCAGGCTCCCAGGGCCAAGCAGGGAAAGAAAAGAGGCTGTGAGTAGGGTTCAGTGGTAGAGTTCATGCTTAGCATACACAAAGCTCTGTTTGTTCCAAAGTACCAAAATAACAACTACAGCAAAGAAAGATTCATTCCCTGGCCCAAACAATAATAAAGGAAGAAAGATTCACTCCCTAGCCACAGAGCTCTGTATCAAACCTTTTATGAGCTTTACTTAATATACCACCCCTAGAAGCCAGGCGTGGTGGTTCACACCTGTAATCCCAGCACTCGAAAGGCTGAGGCAGGAGGATCGTTGCGAGTTCGAGACCAGCCTGGGGTACAAAGTGAGCTCAAGGCCAGCCTGAACTGCACAGTGAGACCCTGTCTCAAAAAGACAAAAAAATAAAAATAAAAAAAAAATAACCACCCCTAAGAAGTCTATGAGGGACCCAGGATCCTTTCCAAATACTCTTTGGACCTATATAAATGGCCAGAGTGAGACTGCAGCATGGTTCCAAGAGAAATGCCTGATAAGCCCATGCCCCAGCCCTGAGCTGAGGCCAGCCAGGGACCCCCGATCTTGAGAGCCCACCTGCCCTACTCCTTGGGAGGACACTGACTGACACCCAGCTGCAGCATGCTCAGGCTTCAGCGCAGAGTCAGGGACAAGCAAAAAGCCATTCACTGCTCAGACTGCATCCTAGAGAGGGCCTGAACGCTACCAGGCAGACTGGAAAAATGACATGGAAGCACAAGAAGTATCTGCTGGTTCAAAACACATCTGATGAGGTTCTCTGGGACTCATCACCTTGCTCTCCCAGGCTGATTCAAGTGAGCAAGTTCACATGGTGACAGGCAGAGGGAAGACAGAAAGCCAAGGTGTAGCTATCTGCATCTACCCAGGAGCATCAGCTTACACTCCTCTGGGTCCCCATCACTTGGTACACACAGTGCACACATGGTAAGCGGCAAATATGTTAGTGAGACGGTCATCTTCAGCCTGTCTCCCAAGCTCTGATAGGTCATCCAACCCTGATAGGAATCCCACGGCTAGGGTGGGAAGGAAAGAGGCAGAGGGAGATGGAGAGAGAAACCCTAGTTTCTGGGAAAATCGCCCAGACAAAGTCCCACATGAGGGTCCTGATGTCAGGGACTTGCAGCATACACAAACCAAAACTAGGTTGCTATTGTAACAGAAGTCAGTAGAGGAACTCCCTCAAATCAGTACTGTTTATTTCAGGCAATTTTAAGGTTTTCCTTACTTTCTCAAAGATGAACACATCCAATTATTCGTTGTAGCCTAGAGATCACAGTGATGTCCCAGAAATAACCTATGTGATAGCCAAGTATGGTGGTACACGTCTGTAACCCCAGGACTCAGAAGCCTGAGGTAGGAGAATCATCGTAGGTTCAAGGCCCGCCTCAGCTACACGGTGAGTTCAAGGCCCGCCTGAACTACATAGCAGGACCCTGTGTCAAAAAAACAAAACAAAGCAAAATAATAATCCATATAGTTCATAATACAGTAGGAGTAAATAAAACGGAATTCATCTAGTTGTCCATTCAACAGATACAGAACACTTTTTCTGTATTCTTTTTTTGGCACTGGGAATTGAACTCACAACCTCCCACTTGCCAGGCAGGCACTTATACCATTGAGATAGATCCTCAGCCCCCTTTTTCTTTATCCTTGTTTTTGATACTTAAGCTTGAACTCAGGGCTTCTGCTCCTCAGCCCTTTTTGAAAATGTTTTTCATTTTCAGATAGGGTCTTACTAAGTCATTTAATTACCCAGACAGCCTACCTCAGCCTCCTAGAGTGCTGGGATTTCAGGCATGTGTTACCCCTCCCAGCAATCTAACACCTATTTTTAAAGTTTGGGGCTCTTCCTCAATAACTTCACAGGGACCCCTTGCAACCCTCCCTGGTGGCTGTGGTAGCACTTTATTGTTCTGGCCTCCATGACCTTTAAGTAGCAGGCAGAGCCACATGGGACAACTGAGTCACACTGTTAGACAATATCCTTGGCCTGCCCCTCATTCCCCTGTACCTGCAAAGGCCAAAGGACAATAGAATTGTAGGGTCCTTTCAGAGAATAAAAGTTGTCATGGTTTAATATCTCAATGTCCCCCTTGTCAGGCATGGTGGTGCATAACTGTAATCCTAGCACTCATGAGGCTGAAGCAAAAGGATTTCAAGTTCAAGGCCAGCCTGAGCCTCCATGAGTTCAAGGCCAGCCTAATTTACACAGTGAGATCTTGTCTCAATAAATAAACAAATAGATAGACAAATAAATAAATCTCCCCCTAAAAACTCATGCACTCACAGGTGGGGTTTCAGGAGGTGATTAGATTATGGGGGTGTGATACTCATCAGTGGATGTTTCCACTGATAAGTTTATAGCTAAAGGTGACTTAGGAGATAAAGCCTGCTGGGAGGAGGTGGAATACTAGGGGTGTGACCAAAAGAGTTTTTCTCCTTCTCTCATTCCTTGATTCTTTCTTCTCTATTTCCTAATGGCCATGCCATAAGCAAGCTTCTTCTGCCATGCTGCCCTGCCTTGGAGCCAGCCAACTATGGACTGAAACCTCTACAAGCAGAACCAAAATAAACCTTTTCTCCTTTAACTTGTGGGTGTTGGGTGTTGTGTCTCAGCAACAAGAAAGTACCTAAGACTAGGATCCTTTGGGCAGTACTAGGGCCTGAGGCCAGTTCGAAGCATGAACATTGAGTGGCAAAGGGAACTGACCAAAAACAAACAGAATTTTCCAGGATGAGGAAACTCCCTGAGGACCAAGCTATCTGTCCTGCAGAGATGACTCTTGTCCCCCACCAAGAAACTTAAGAGTACCTCTTCTTTGTGTGGCTCCTCTAAGCTACCCAGCTAACCCCAGTTGGCTAACTCACATTTGAGTGGTTTACAAATAACCAGGCATCTCCCCAAAACCATATTTGGCTTTCTAGTGCATTCCAAGGATGCATAGCTCATATAGACCTATACCCCATTCTTCCAGGGGTCTATTCCCTAGAGATGGCCAGCACAAACAGCAACATCCACCCTAGTATACTTTGTTCTGGAGAACCAGTGTGCTCCTGCCCTGGCCACCAAGGGAAGCTGGAAGGAAATGCCACTGAGGTTCAATGGTGAGGGCAGGCAGCCTAGTACAAGGAACAGACCCCTTCAAGTTGTTTGAGGCCTCACTGATCTATACTCTGGGGCCAGCTCCAGGAAGGTACCCTGTTTTGGCAAGTGGACTCCCACAAGCTCTCCCACATCTGAGGCCTGGGTACTCTGGACATAATCCCAGACATGATCTAAGGACAGGCTAGAAGTGAAGCCCCTTCTGTCAAATCTCCATCTTACTTACTTTTCTTGTTGCTAAGACAAAATACTTCAGACCCAAAGTTAAAGGAAGAAAGACTGATTTAAGCTCACAATTTTAAGACATTTCAGTGTATAGTCAGAGGGCCCTAAGGAAGGGTAACATGGCAGACAGGCATTACAGAGGAGAAATAGTTCATGCTATAGCAAGGCAGGAAGAAGGCAGCAAGTAGTGAACTAGCAAAGCAGAAGCAATAGCAAGTTTTCTTTCTGTTCCTTACAGTCTATCTGAGTTCCCCACCCTTTGTGTAGTTACTATTTACTCCTACTATGGGTTACCCCTAATCCCAGCATTACTTCCTTAATCCTACCATTACACTCTAGATCCAGTCACCTCTGAAAAGCCCCACCTATAACCACATGAGGATATGGGGGGATATCTAGATACAAACCATAACACCTCCTCAAAGGCCATACTTGTACTCTCCTGGGAGGCTGGTCAAAACCAACACCAGGGGGCTGGAGATTTAGCTCAGTGGCATAAGCACCTGCCTTGCAAGCAGGCAGTTGTGAGTTCGATCCCTGGTACCAATAAAAACGAAAAAGACAAAAAACAAACAAACAAACAAACAAAAAAACCACACCAGGTGTACTGCAGACATGTGGTAGGAGGGAACCTCAGCTAGCACAGTGATGGCAGCAAGGTGACCATAGAGTCAAACATGTAATGTTTTCTCCTTTGCAAGATAGGATCTGAGGGGCCAGAGATGTGGCTCAGTGGCACAGCAGCTGCCTGGCAAGTGTGAAGCCCTAGGTTCAATTCCTGGTACCAAAAAAAAAGATAGGATCTGAGAAATGAAGCTCTAGGGAAACCTGCTCAGCAGCTGTAAGTTCAGTACTGTGTTTGCCAAATGGGCCAGGAGTTAAACGATATCAGACACCAGATTTTGTCTCCTGCTCAGGAAAAGAAGCCTGAATATAATGGGCATTTGAAGTGATGACAAGTTGGGAAGGGCAAGGAGGCTATGGAGGCCTGATGTACGAATGCTTCCACCAAGGTGGCCATGTATCCTTCCAATCAAGAGTCTTGGGGTCAGGGATCATGAAGCTCTGCTGCTTGCCATGCTCCTTCTATATACAAAGGGGCCTGGACAGGAGGAAAAGGGCACAGGAGTAGCCAGGCATTCGAGAAATGGAAAACATGCATGGAAAAAGCACAACCCCCAACTCTGAGTGACAGGATCACATTAATTGTCCTCCTTTTCTTTTTCTCTTTTTTTTTTGTCTTTTTCCTTTTTTATCAGTACCAAGGATCGAACTCAGGACCGCACACTTGCAAGGCAGGCGCTTATGCTGCTGAGCTAAATCCCCAGTCCCCTGTCCTCCTTTTCTTTGTAAAAACACTTCCACCTGGGCATGATGTTGTATGCCTATAATTCTAACACTTTGGGAGGCTGAAGCAAAAAAACTACCAAATGCAAGACCACTTGGGCAATTTAATAAAAAAAGGGCTGGGAATGTAGCTCAGTATGAAGGTCCTGGCTTCAATCCCTAGTCATACAAAAAACAGAGCAAATAAACAACAATAAAAAAAGCAAAATCTAATGCCTAAATATTTTTATAGTAAAGATTATCTTCTAAGAAAATGTAAAAAAAAAAAAAAAGGAAAGGAAGGAAGAAAGAAGGGTGATTTCTGGGAAAAAATATTTTTTTAAAAATTTTTTTGAGACAGGGTTGCACTATGCATTTCAGGCTGACCTTGAGCCCACTATGGGGTCTAAGCTGACCTCCAACTCACAGTAATGCTCCTGCCTTAGTCTCCCAAGTGCTGTGATTACATGCATATGACACCATGCCTGGCTTTAGTAAAATTCTGTAATCTGTGGTTAGACATCTGCTTGGGCAGGTTACAGGCTAGACTTACTGCTTGGTCATTGCTGAAAGGGAAATTGGGTGACCAACAGACAGACAAAGGGCTAGACTACTGGGATCACTGGATTTAGTACTCTTGGTTTGGCCAGAGGACCATAGGGTGTGGGATGGAGAGACTAAAGGCAGTTTTCCAGAAGTATTCTCTCACTCTGTATACAGTATTTAGTATAAAAAGTTGTATCCCAGCCAGGCATGATGGTACTTGCTTATAATCTCAGTACTAGGGAGGTTAAGACATAAGGATCACTACATTTGAAGCCAGCCCATACATAGTAGGTTCAAGGACAGTTTAAAACACATAGTGAGACCCAGTTGAAAAAAAAAAATTAGCCAAGTGGTGCACACCTGTAATCCCAGCACTCAGGAGGCTGAGGTAGGAAGATCTCCATCAGTTTGAAGTCAGCCTCCCTATATAATGAGCTCAAGGCCAGCTTGAACTATAAAGCAAGAGCCCTTCTCAAAAACAAAACAAAACAAAACAAAACAGGAGTCAGAGATATAGCTCAGTGATATAAGCACCTCCCTGGCAAGTGCAAAGTCCTGAGTTCAATTCTTGGTACCAAAACAACAACAACAGCAAAAAATCAAAACAAAAAGCTATATCCCTTCAACACCTGTCAGAAATCTGGGCAGAGATCAAAGTCATTGGGGAAGACCTAGAGGCACTAGGTTTCCTGCATTGCAAGGTTTGAGTATGTGCCCATTGGATATGGGAAACTAGTAGAGTATGGGCAAAAGCATCCAAGAACACAGATGAGCCTGAGAAGAGAAACAGCTCACCTAGAGTTTAGCAGAGGCAGATTCGAAATTCGCCAGTTGCTTGATATCATTTGGGAATGTCAGCCAGCATCCGCCATCCACCACCAGCACAATTCCCGTCACATAGGAAGCCAGAGGGCTAGCCAGGTACAGCACACTGTGGGCAATCTCAGTCTTGTTCCCCATCCTCTGCAGGGGGCTCTCAAGGACCATTTTGCTCAGGCTGGTCTGGGGGCCAACTGGAGAACAGCAGGAGGCTCAGGCTCTAGAGAGCCCCAGGACCCCAGGACTCTCCACCATCTCTAGCCAGCTTTTCCCCTGAACCACATCTAGAAATAGTAGGGGCACTATATTATCAAGGCAAAGTGGAACAGGAAAAAAAAGTTGAGCAAGAACAAAACACAGAAGTTTTAGTTGATGGTCTGTCCCCTGGAGTTGTAGATGCACAGGAAGCCTGGGCTCCCCAAGAGCCTTACCTAGTCGCCGGAACCCCTCTGTGCCACTGATAGGGCCAGGGGCAAGGCTATTGACACGAATGTTCTGGGGACCCCATTCCACAGCTAAGTGTCGTGTCATTGCATCTGCATGGAAGGACAGGAGACATGCAAAGTTGCTTTGTCTGGTAGTGGTGGTAGTTCAGGGCCAAGGTCATGCCTGTCTGCCACCCACAAGTGCACTCCAGTTCATGTGAAGCCTCCAGGACAGTCAGCAGTGGGAGCCACTGGAAACCTCACATGGGCAAACCTGAGGGACCATACCCACAGCCGCCTTGGCAGAGCCTGCATGCACTTGCAGCACCTGCCCCCGAAGACTCAGGGTTGCAGTGATGTTCACAATCACTCCTCCATGATCCTATAATACACAAAAGGAAGAGGTGGTGAGGGGGAAGACAAAGATAGAAAGGCCTTGACACAGAGACACTCACCCGGAAGAACTTCTCATAGAGTACACGAGACACATTGAAGGTGCCAAGGGTATCAATTTCAACTACAGTCTTGAAGGCATTGAATGACAATGCGCTGGCAGGACACAGGAAGTTTCCAGCCGCACCTACAGAATACACAATGACAGAAGATAGTCTTGGGATGGTGGGACCCTGGATGGTCAGAGGTCCTGATGGGAAGGTGCACAAAAGAGTTGATTCTCAGTCAGTGACAGTATAGGGACTCTGCCTGGTCCAAGTTGAAGAGGGCAGCAGACCAGGCACTTGGATAAACTTCTAAATAAGAGTAAAACAAGATGTTGTTATCCTCCAAAAAAGAGGTTGAAGTTCTAACCTTCAGTACATATGAATGTGACCTAGTTAGAGGATAGTTTTCTTTGGTTTTTGGTTTGTTTAAGACAGGGTCTTGCTGTGTAATTCAGGCAGGCTGGCTTCAGATTTGCACTGATCCTCCTGCCTCAGCTTCCTAAGCACTGGGATTACAGATATATACCACCCTCCCTGGTTCTTCTTTGTTGTTTAAAACAGTCTTGAGATGTAGCCCAGGGCAGACTCAAACTCTGAAGCTCAAGCTGGCCTCAAACTCTCAATGCTCCTGCCTCCGCTGGGATTACAGCTGTGAGCTACCATTCCTTTCTGAAAAGAAGGTCTTTAAAGATATTACCAAATTAAGATGAAGCCATACTGAATTAGGTTAGTTCTCAATACCATGATTGTGCTTTTTTTCTTCTTTGCCTGATATGCACTCTATCACTGAGCTATCCTCCAGCCCTATTATTTTAATTTTCTTTGATGGTGGTGGGGGGTGAAGGGAAGATGCTGGAGATTAAATCTAGGGCCTTTGCACTGAGCTACATCTCCAGCCCTCTTCTTATTTTTATTTTGGGACTATGTGGAAAAATTGCCCAGGCTGCATCCAAACTTAAATGTTCCTGTTTCAACCTTCCAGTGCTGAGATTATGGGCATATGCCACTATGTAGAGCTAAAGTGAGAATTTGAGGACATAAGGGTATTCAGTCACATTCATGAGAATCCACTTGCCCATATGCAAAGAGCAGAGATGGGCCCAGACAGACACTGGGAGCCTGGTTCCTGCCCCTGGCACATGCAAAGGCTACAGCCCTACTGACACAGCACCTTAACTCTCTGATCCTATCACTCAGGACCAGAGCCCTGGAGCCTCCAACCATCAGAAGCCTCTAGCTTCACTCAATACCAACTCACAGTTAATGAGGATGTCAATTTTGCCAAACTCCTTCAGTGCCTGGTCCACAGCAGCCATGATGGCTGGGGGAGCTCGGACATCCATGGATAAAGGGAGGCAGCGCTGGCCAGTGGCAGCAACCAGCTTCTTGGCAGCCTAGAATCCAGACAGGATAAGAGATAGGCAGCAGTCCAACAGCCTGAACCTATACCATTGACCTTTAGAAACCGAGGAAGACAGTATGTCCATGTTCCACCGGCACCTAGATTTGTTACTGTACTCCACTGAGAAGACACAGCCAACACGCAACTACTCCCTGGGCCATGACCCCAGTGGACATCTGTAAAATGTTTTATTTTCTCTATAACAGGCCATCTGTCTCACATTCCTCCCTCTTCACCAGCCCACTAGACCATCCTTAGGATCAAAAGCAGCCTCAGCTGATGTCCTGCTTCAATCTCCCACTGGTGAGATTATAGGCATGCGCCAGCAAAGGTATGAGTGAGACATGCAGTTTCAAGTTTCTTTTTCTTTTAATTTTTTTTTTTTTTTGTCTTTTTCCTTTTTATCAGTACCAGGAATTAAACTCACGACTACCTGCTTACAAGGCAGGCTCTTATGCCGCTGAGCTAAACCCCCAGCCCGGTTTCAAGTTTCATAACGCTGAGTTTGGAGGTAGCCAAATTATCTCCCAACTTTGTGTCCAGCAATGGTGTGAGACACACCTTTCAGGTCAAGGAGCAACTAGAGTTTCATAACCCAGAGTTTGGGGTGGGCCAAATTTCCTCCCAACATGAGGGCTCTCACATTTTATTTTTCTTTCCAATAATCACATTTTATTTTTCTTGCCCTGGGGTTCAAATCCAGAAACACTTTATATATCCAGTCCTTTTAATGTTTTTGAGGTAGTGTTCTGCTAAATTGCCCAGGCTGGCCTCAAACTTGCAATTTTCCTACCTCACCCTCCTGGGTAGCTGGAATTATAGGTATGTGCCATTACACCAGCCTAATAATCAGACTTTTGGTGGGGGGAAGAGGGACAGTGTCTCGATATACAGTTCAGGCTGGCCTTGAGCTCACTCTGAAGCCCAGGTTGATGTCAATTTCTAACAATCCTCCTCCCTTATCTCCCATTATAATCATGTGCCACCATGCCCAGCTCAGTATCAGACTTTTTTTTTTGGTACTGGGGATCAAACTCACAACCTCACACTTGGCAGGCAGGTGCTTACACCACTGAGCTAAATCCCCAGCCCCAGTATCAGACTTTTAAGGGTGTTCACTGAGGTTCCATATTTAAGAGGAGTGCAAGTTTTGTTTTTTTTGTTTTGTTTTGTTTTGTTGTCTTTTTCCTTTTTATCGGTACTGGGGATCAAACTCACGACTGCCTGCTTGCAAGGCAGGCGCTTATGCCGCTGAGCTAAATCCCCAGCCCCGAGGAGTGCCAAGTTTTGATGTTACCATCTTATGGGCATCAGATACTACTAGCTCAGCCTTAAGTTCCCCACAGCTGCCTGTCCAAGTCTTCTCACCATCAACACTCTTGGCAGACTCCTGCTGACGATGACCGTTTGGCAGCCATACCTACAAAACCAGATGGCAGGCCTAAGAATAGCAAGGACAAGGTAGGCTCCTCCAATGTGCTCCAAGCAGAGCTCCCCCAAAGGTTTCTCAGGTCGGGGTATGTCAAGGCCTGAAGTATAGCTGGAGAAGGCACAGGGCCCAACCAGACTGAGTAGACCTCAGGGGCTTCAGGTGAATGCCATGGTTGCCCACTTATCAGTTCCTGGACTAGGCTTCTCTGGCATGGAGTATCCCAGCCACACAAGAAGGTAGATCTGCCCCCAATGCCACATACATGAAAGGCCACGGTCAGCCAGCCAGAGTTCTGTGAGGGGTCTGCTGGGTCCCCTGGCTCAGTCCTGCATGCCCCAATCCCCCTCCCTGGGGAGCTAAAAAGATAGAATCCATTGTAAGGCAGGCTGTTCCCTGCCCACCTGCCAAGCTCAGCACCACAACAATGGGGCAAATAGCTTCAGAACACACTCAGCAGAGTTACAATGTGCCATTTAATCCTCAAGAGGACCCTGACTCAAAAATGACTATGTTCTGTTAACATGAGTAAGGCTATCAGCTCCAAAGATGAGTCTACCTGCACCCATGAGTCCCAAAGCCTCTTCCTGTTGGGAATCATCTCCTGTCCTGAAAAGCAGGGGCTGGGAGAAAGGAGCAGGGCTCTTCTTCTGCCACCTTATCTTAACTCTGAGCCTGTTGGATGGGATGGATTTTGACCCACTCCTGAGACTATAGTATTTGTGTCCCATGAGACACTTGAGTTCCACACAACACAAGGGTCTGTCCATCCATTCTGTGAGGCCCCAGGAGGTCCTAAGGCAGAACCAGTTTCACAAACTTCTAAAGGACTCCAGATTCCCACTTCCCAGCAGGACTCAGGTAAGGGGAAGCAGAAGCAGGGAAGGGCACTGGAATGTTGCTCACCTCATGAAAATCTCAGCGATCCGGAATCCAATCCCAGAGCCACCACCAGTGATAAAGGCCACTTTGCCCCTGCCCCAAGAAAAACAAAAAAGTAAAAGGTCAAGGTTAAAGGGTGTGGTGGCGCATGCCTGTAATACCTGCACTTGAGAGGCTGCTGCAGGAGGTTAATTTTGAGTTCGAGATCAGCCTGGGCTACTAAATGAGCTCAAGGCTAGCGAGAGCTGCATAGTGAGACCATCTCAAAGACAAAAATAATAATAAAAAGGTCACTGTTGTAAGACATTGTGGTATAGGCCTGTAATCTCAGCACTTGAGAGGCTGAGGCAGGAGGACTGCCACGAGTTTAAGGCTAGTTTGGACTACACAAGTTTAAGGCCAGCCTAAACTACATAGTGAAACTGTCTCAAAAATCCAAAAACAGGGGCTGGGGATTTAGCTCAGTGGCATAAGCTCCTACCTGGCTGGTAAGCTTGAGGTTGTCAGTTTGATCCCTGGCACAAAAATAAAACCAAAAACAAATAAATTTTAACTGAAAAAGAGGAGTAATGAGGAGCAATGGTGTAGCTGGGGTGGAGAGACTCACCTAGGGAAAGCATATTTTTGGGGAGGCATTATAGTAAAAGAAAAATAACGATTTACCCCATTTAAACACAGCAAAGATTTTAATACACTGAAATAGTTCAGCGGCATAAGTACCTACCTTGCAAGCAGGTGGTCGTGAGTTCGATCCCTGGTAATGATAAAAACGAAAAGAAAAAAAAAGACTTCCAATTTTTTTTTCCTTAGAGTTTTTTTTTTTTTTAAATCGGTACCGGTCATCAAACTCAGGACCGTACGCTTGCAAGGCGGGCGATTATACCGCTGAGCTAAATCCCCAGCTCTCCTTAGCGTCTTACTATGTAGTTCAGGCTTGCCTCGAACTTGTGGCCATTCTGCTTCAGCTTTCCAAATGCTAGGATTGCAGATGTCCGGCGCAAATTTATATAAATAGAAAGTAAAATTTCTATTTAAACTGGTTAACATATTCCAATACGTTGAAGGTGGCAAATTGAAGGATTTTGCAAGAGCACATGATTTCTATCTATCACAACAGAGGAGGGGGGCAAGGGTCAGGCAGCAGACTTTGATTTCCTGAATTGTAAGAGAAGAAAACGCCTTTTAAAAAGTCTGTCGTTCCTAGACCTTCTTTGGTTATCTCCTAGGTTTTCAGGTAAAACGATTTTAACCTAAAATTTTCTTCTCACAAATTTGAGACCAGGAGGACTGGGGATTTAGCTCAGCGGCAAAAGCGCCTGCCTGGCAAGCGTGAAATTGTGAGTTCGATCCCAGGTACCAAAAAACCCAAACAGTTGAGACCAGTTTTCACAACATATGATTTCCTTCAACGCTCCCTTTACCCGCCCTGGCAGGATCCCCAGGCCAGCAGCGGGCAGGCAGCCCACAGTTGCCATCCTGTGCCCCGCGTCCCACTCTGGTCCCCCGCTGCTCCGGGTAGCCCTGCTAGGAGCTTACTGGAAGAGGTCCGGACGGAAGAGGTGGCGGTAATCAGGGAGACAGTCATCCTCTTCAACGTCGGGTGGTAGCTGGTCCATAGCGCTCGACTATGAAAGGGACAGCAGAATATCCCGTGGTCTGCAGCTGCTTAATAAGTAAGAGGAATCAGCGTGGCGTGCAATCCTAGCCCACAGCAGGAGCCCCGCCCCTTAACCCGCCTCCTGAGGCCCCGCCCCTCTCATAGGGACTCAGTCCCCCCCCCCACGCCCCTCTGGGAATCCTTTTCTGAGGGCCACGCCTCCAACCAGGACGCCCTGCGCACCCCGCGCATGGCCTCCTGGGACTGGAAGTGGGCCAGACTGAGCGCAGCAGTTCAGGCATTTTTGTGGCACTGTGTGCTCTGGAAGGAGACATCAAGGGCTCGGAGATGTTCCCAGCCGTAGTCCGTTTGGCACACTGGGCACCATATGCAATGATTAAAGCTGGCTGCACCCCCACGGACACTCTTGATCCCCAGACCAGGGCTGGGCTCAGGTGCGGGAAGCCCTGCCTCCTGGACTTGCTTCTAGGTGGACAAAAATGAACACAGAGATTTGAGATAAAAAAGCAGAAGAGAGGCTCCTTCGTGGGGCCAGCCCAGGGCTTGAGTCCTAAAGTTACTGCCACATTAACCCTATCCCATTCATCACGGTCACTCCAAAATCTAAGACATCACCATGATGTCAAAGGCTGATGGCCGATTCAGCCTTATAATCAGCGTGTCTGCTACCTATGCCATAGAGATGTGACTTGAGGACCCAAGGACAAAGTGTGACCCTTGTGTCAAAATGAAGATAAATGAAGCCGGGCATGGTATAATCCCAGCACTGGGCAGGCTGAGACAGAATGATCCTTGAGAGTTCCAGACCAGCCTGGGCTACAAAATGAGCTCAAGGCCAGCCTAAACTGCATAATGAGACCCTGTCTCAAAACTACAATAAAAAAAAAAAAAAGAAGAAGGAGGAGGAGGAGGAAGAAGAAGAAGAAGAGGAAAAGAAAGAGGAGGAGGATGCCAGGGAGCCCCCTTCATCAGGCCACAAAGAGAGAGGACCATAAGCTCACTGTGCTTTAGAGTGGGCTTAGCTTCTACCTGTCTCTCCTGCCATCCTCCTCCAGCAAAACCAAGTATGTGGGGAGTAGGATAGCATCAGTCTGGAGCTCAGCTCTGATTTCCCCCAGATTTCAGACTGTAGGACCCTGGACTTTTCACACACTCATCAAAGTCAGTGATCCATTCCCTCCTGCATATTTAATTCTCTGTGCTTCCATTTTATTGTTTACAACATCCATAAAACCCATCAACTGCTGTTTCAGAGTGGCAGAAATCAAATGCGCACATTTCCATTCCAAGGAATAAATTTTAATGTTTCTCCTTTGGGGTAGGGGAAGTCACCTTTGAAGACGCCCCAAAAGTTTTCTGGCACTTTGATACAAGATTTGGCTTAATCTTGTACTGGCCTAGGACACAGAAAGGCACATAAAGTTGGGGATCAAATTTCTGTGGGCTGGAGTAAGATAGAAGGTGAACAAGGAAGTGGTTTAGGAGAGACAGGATGGGTGTAGGCTTGAGTTCTTGTTGACCGAGGTAGTTAGGCCTTGGAGGACAATGGAGTGCTAAGGGTAGCATGAGCCCTCAGCCTGGGTAGCTGCTGTTATGGTGGCCACCGTCTGCCCAGTTCACCAGCTCACTATTCTGGAACCACAGCTGGATCTCTCTCCGGGCTCCTTCCACAGAGTCACTGGCATGGACGATGTTCCTACACCAGGTAACAGGTGGCAAAGGTGAGGCTCAAACTTGAGTGTATGCCCTGGAGCTCCCTCTGTGTCGGGGAGAAGCAGATAACTATACAAAGGGGAAAGACTAATAGGAAATTATGTTCTCACCTAGCCTCAGCCTCTTACCCACAACCTCAGAGGCTAGCCCATATCCCAACTTCTAGCTCCTTTCCATAGGAGCTGCCCAATGCCAACCCCTCAGGTGTCTGGCAACACAGGCACATAAAAGACAATGACACAATATACACACAACAAACAAAGGGAATGTATCCTTTCTGTGAAAAAAGTTGTGAGAAAGCTGTTCTACTCAATGTTGTTAGTAATGACATCCCGATATCAAGTCCCTTCTGGCTTTTACCTTTAGCCAAGCAAGATACCTAAATCATGTGGATTAGAAGTAGGCTGCCAGCCAAAACACTGGCCCTGGGTGATTGGGTCAGGGCCCCCTATACCTGCTGATATGAATGCTGAAGTCTCCCCGGATGGTTCCAGGGGCAGCCTCAGTGGAGTCAGTGTGTCCTATCATCGCTCTTGAGGCACGGACCACATTGTATCCCTCCCAGACCTGTAGCATAGAGTAAATGTTGGGGAGAGGTAGAGGAACACCAGGAGTCCTTTGGCTCAATCCAGGCCATTCCTCTTTGCTTGAAGAACACACCCACACTCCCCCCATTGCCTCTACAAACTGTACCATGGCCACCACAGGCCCAGAGCTCATATAGCTGATGAGAGCTGGGTAGAAGGGCTTCCTCTGTAGGTCCTGGTAGTGCTCAGCAAGGATGTTCTCAGGTGCCTGAGTAGCATTGGGGAAGGAGAAGAGAAGTCCTTGGAGATGAATTCCCCACTGGTCCCGACCTCAGGGTACCCTGCAGATAACACCCACATGGACTGGCACCCCCACCACAGCACAGATACCTCTCCACCCCTGCAACTGCCAATGCCAAGCTGAGACATGAAGGGCTGAAAATGAACCCATCACTTTAGTGTGCCACAGGCCCAGGTCTGATACCTGCAGCATCTTCATCCCAACCAGTTTGAAGCCTCGCCTCTCAAAGCGCTGGATCACAGTCCCAACAAGCCGCCGCTGGACCCCATCTGGCTTCACTGCCACCAGGGTCCTCTCCTGGGTCCACGTAGGCCCTCCTTTAAAAGAGAAAGGGAAGGGCCAGGGATTTAGCTCAGTGGCATGAGCGCCTGCCTGGCAAGCCCTAGGTCGTGAGTTCAATCCCCGATACCAAAAAAAAAAAAAAAGAGAGAGAGAGAGAGAAAGGGAAACCGGGTGTGATGGCGCATGCCTGTAATCCCAGCACTCAAGAGGCTGAGGCAGGAGGATCACTGTGAGTTTGAGGCCAGCGTGGACTACAAGGCTAACCTGTACTGCACAGTGGAACCTTGTCTCAAAAAGAAAGAGAGAGGGCTGGGGATTTAGCTCAGCGGCATAAGCGCCTGCCTTGCAAGCAGGCAGTTGTGAGTTCGATCCCTAGTACCAATAAAAGCAAAAAAGACCAAAAAAAAAAAAAAAAAAAACAAAAACCGGAGGCTGGGGATTTAGCTCAGCGGCATAAGCACCTGCCTTGCAAGCAAGCAGTCGTGAGTGAGTTCGATCCCCGGTACCGATAAAAAGACAAAAAACAAAAAAACAGAGAGAAGGAGCTAGAGCTTCCATTACCTTACTGTGTGACTTGCCCTCCCTGACTGGCTTCCCCTGCCAGGAGCCAGATATCACCAGGATTTTGCCTTTCTGCTGGGCCACTAGAAGGAATAATCTGGCCCTGCCACCCAGGAACATCCTGAGCAGTATTTCCCCATGGGCTTCTTTCAAGCAGTGGTCAAAGCTGCCCAAGACTGAGCTGGCTTTGCCCAAGAGAACATATGAGGAAACACAGAGGACAGAGAGCTAGGAAATGCTCCCTAGAACTAAGCAAGTTTTACTCTGGTGCATTTCTGACTCTTGTCCTTCCGTGTATAGTGGACAACGTCTGAGGCCTGGGACTGCTATAGGAGGTCCCCATCCCCTGGGAATGAGGTGAACCGAATGGTGCAAACTTAGGAGGGAGAAAGTGTGCTCCCCTCAAGTGTGCAGGGAAGGGACACAGAGAGCAGAAAATGCAAAATGGCAGCTGAACAGAGGTCAGGTGGGAACTCCAATCCCAACCCTAGCCAGGAAGACAGGAGGTGTCTTGACCTACCTGCAGCCCTGGGCACTCCTGGAGCGATAAACATTTTGTCTCAGGGCAAATACAGGGCACAGGCTCATTGAAAGCCACGAAGAAGCCAGGCCTAGCTTGTTTCTTCCCAAAACCCAGTTCACAAAGGACCTGTCTAGACTGGGCCTGTCTGCGCACTGGAGAGGCAGTTTACGTGTTAGTTGGCTCTTGGGAAGCATTATATGGATGGGCATTCAGCGCGGGGCCTCAGGCAGGGGTGGACTGGGCGGTCTTAGGCCTCATGGTGCAGCCTGGTCCAAAACAAATGCCCTGGCGACAGCAGCGCCATGGGAAAGTTTCCTCTGCTGGCAGGACACCCGGCTCAGGAGCCACAGGTCCACTGGGACTCTCAATAGGCACACTGCACCCGCCCACTTTGCTTTTTTCTGCTTCGGGCCCTTGGTTGCCCCAGATCCGGGAAGTTAAACCTGCACTTTCCCTTCCCGCAGCCGCACGTGCGCGAACAAAGGCCGCAGCTGCTCGCCAGCCCTGGCAGCGTTCGACTCACCCGAGCTGGGCCGCACGAGCAGGCGCGGGCCCGGGCACCGGGGCCCGCAGAGCAGAGCCCGCAGCGCGGGGCGCCCGAAGAGGCGGCCCATGACTCTAGCCTGGCAGGGTTGGGGGAGGAGGACAGAAGGCTGAGGACGCAAGACCGAGGACCGGGGGAGGAGGGAGAGAGGAGGGCGGTGCACTGGGGGTCCGCCCCTGATCCCGCCCCTCTCGGAATCCCTAGGCGCACGAGATACTCTTATGTTTCTGTTAAAATCAGAAGAAACCCAAAATTACAGTATAACAGTAACGACCCAGCTTGGATTATATTGTTCTTTACACCAACGCAATCCTTAAGTATCTTACGTATTTTTCCTGGAGGAAGGGCCCACACAAGTCCTAACTTGCCCCATTTTGCGGCGTGAGGCCGCTTTCCGTTAGTTTTGGAGCTGCTGGAAATCACATCCTCCATCAGAGGAGGGCGCTAGAGGAAACCTTAGAACAAAGCGATTCAGCCTCAGAGTCCTAGACCTAAAAGGGAAAAGATCCATTGCTTGTTCTCAATTGGCCTCGATGGAGTGTGTTCCATTAAATCATTCCAGTTTGACTGCAAGGGACAAGCCACAGGCATAGCTGCAGGAGCTGTAACTTTATCACAAATAGAAACCACAGTTCCAATAATGAGATATCATGCGTGGAGATCAGCACATCCCTGAAAAGTCAAATGATCTAATTCTAGATCAAGTAGTTTTTGAAAAAGCATTCTTTTAACTACAGGGTCTTTCTATGTAGTTCAGGCTGACCTTGAACTCACCGTGTAGCCCAGGCCAGCCTTGAACTTGCAGCAATCCTTCAGTTTCTGCCTCCCAAGTGCTAGAATCACAAGCATGCGCTACCACGCGAATTGTTTTAAACTACATTTGCCTCTTTTTTTTTTTTTTTTTTTTTTTTTGAGACAAGATCTCACTATGTAGTTCATGCTGGTTTTAAACTCAGTATGTACCCCAGGCTGGCCTTGAACTCCCAGTGACTTTCCGGCCTCAGCCACTCAAGTGCTGGAATTACAGGCATGCACCACCATGCCTGGCCAATATATTTGATTATTTTTCTATTTGACTTGTATCTTGCAACCTTGCTGAACTTACTTATTAATTATAATAGTTTTAGACACTTCCTTGGGATTTTCTACATAAACGATCCATGTTATGTGAGAATACAGTTTTCCTTTTTCCTTCCCAGTCTGTGTGCTTTTTATTTCATTTTCTTGTTCAATTTTGGGGCTGGGGATTTAGCTCAGCGGTATAAGCACCTGCCTTGCAAGCAGGCCGTCGTGAGTTTGATCCCTGGTACCGATAAAAAGGAAAAAGACAAAAAAATATATATATATATATCTTGTTCAATTTTTCGGACTAGAATCTCTGGTGCGATAATGAATAGAAGTGGCCTTTTTCCAGAGTCTTAAAGTGGAAAGCTAGGTTATTGATCTGAGTTGTTTTTTATTTTTAAATCTTTCTTCTTAGTTTTGGCCATCACAGCTATACATTTCCCAGTAAGTACTGCCTTAGCTGCATTCCATAAGTTTATTTTGTGTGTATGGTTCTGAGGATTAAAACCAAGCTACATCTCCAGCCTTCTGCCCCTTAAAATGTTTTAATTTTGAGACAGGGTCTCATTAAGTTACCCATACTGGTCTTTAAACATGTGGTCTTTCTGCCTCAGCTTCCCAAGTACCTGAAATTACAGACCTCTGCTATTTAACAGTGCCCAACTATTTTTGGCAATGCCTTTTGTCTTGGGGTCTACATTATAGAATAGGAATATAGGCATCCCAGTTCTGTTTATACTGGATATTAGTACATCATGTACCCATTTATTTTCCATCCATCCATGTCTTTATAGTTACAATAAATCCTGGGTACATAGTTGGGAGTTGCTTTTTTTTTTTTAGATAGGGTCTAGCTAAATTGCCAAAGCTCTTCTCAAACTCGAAATTCTTCTGCTTCAGTCTTCCAGAGTGTTGGTGTTATATGTACCACCACATTTGGCTGTCTTGTTTTGTTTTGTTTTGTTTTATGCAATCTAGGGGCTGGGGATTTAGCTCAGCAGCATAAGTACCTGCCTTGCAAGCAGGCAGTCGTGAGTTCGATCCCCAGTACTGATAAAAATGAAAAAAACAAAAAAAAATGCAATCTGACAATCTCTGCCTTTTCTATTTATTTATCAAGAGATACAGTCTCAGCTGGGCATGGTAGTACATGTCTGTCATCCTAGCACATGGGAGGCTGAGCCAGGATTGCCACAAATTCAAGGCCAGCCTGAACTGCAGTTAAGACTGCTCAACTCAGTTCTAGGTAGTTCAAGGCTAGCCTGAACTGCATAGTGAAGCCCTGTCTCAAAAAAAAAAAAAAAGAAGAGAAAAAAAAAAAAAAAGGAAGAGAGAGACGTCTCAAATTGGGCATGGTGGTACACACCTGTAATTTTGGCTCCACTGTTTCTTATGTGAAGGGAATTTGTAAACACTCAGTTGTTTCCTTGACTGTAATGTGTCATTTTTCTGTCTTTTTTTTTTTTTTTTCTATTTTCAACACTTTCTCTTTAGGTTTGGTTTTTGACAGTTTGACTTTCTCTTTCTTTCTTTTTCCTTCCTTCCTTCCTTCCTTCCTTCCTTGCTTCCTTCCTTCCTTCCTTCCTTTATCTCTTCCTTATTTTCTTTTTAGAGATGGTCTCACTATGGAGTTTAGTTCAGGCTAGCCTAGAGCTCAAGGTAATCCTCCTGTCTCACTCTCTCAAGTGCTGAGATTATAGGGGTATGCCACCACACCCAGCTAGGTATGGTTTTCTTTGTTCCAAGCCTTAATATTCAATTGAGAATTTTGAGGTATTTTTCAAATTTTTCCTTGCCTCTTTCTTTTTCTTGCCCTCTTAGAATTCCAGCTTCAAATGTGAGATCTTTCTCCCCCTGGTAAGGTCACTGCAGGGGGTCCAGGAAGTATGGGTGACTCCTCTTATTATGAGGGCCCTGAAAAGCCTCATATTCATATACCAGCTCAGGTAAACTGATAAAGGGTACCAAGGAGAGACCTCACACCAAAGCGCAATGCTCAGGGCCTTGTGCCTAGGAACCACCCCCTGCCTCTGTCACCCTTGGAGAGAACAAAGATATATGCTCTGGTCCCCTCCTCTAGAACAGCTGGTCAGTAGCCTTGCTTGAAATCACTACCTATTGGGCTGGGGATTTAGCTCAGTGGCATAAGCACCTGCCTTACAAGCAGGTGGTCGTGAGTTTGATCACCGGTACCAATAAAAAGAAATCATTACCTATGTCTTTTGTAGGACCAGACTGCTGCTGTCTTAGCCAGATCAAAAGCCACAGCCATTTTAAGACCTCTCCCTTAAGGTTTATGCTGTTTAAATTCCCTTTTCTCAGAATAGAACATCCCATAGCTGGGCATGGTGCTGCAGTCCTGTAATCCTAGCACTTGGTAAACTGAGGCAGGAGGATCGTTGGGAGTTTGAGACTAGCCTGAGCTCCAAAGTGAGCTCAAGGCCATCCTGAACTGCATAATGAGACCTGATCTGAAAAGGACAAAAACAATAACAAACAGAATAGAACACCCCAGGGAAACAAGTTCAAATCAACTTTTACCTTGAGAAAAAAAAAAACAACACCCATATGAGGGCCAATCCATGGGGATGGGGGAGCGGGAAATTTCAGTGACTATAGCCTCAAAAAGAGCCATATCTCAAAGATAGCTACACCTTCCTCTTACAACCCTATAAAAGACAGGACAGTTATGTTCTATTTGCCTATGATCCCTCTCAGGACTGTTTGTTAGTTTTGGTTTTGGTTTTTGTGACAGATGTTGGTATATAATCCAGGCTGGTTTTAAACTCATTGTGGAGCCCACTCTAACCTTGAATTCACAAAGATCCCTTTGTTTTAGTCTCCCAAATGCTGAGATTACAGATGTCTGTCACCACACCCACCCTCTTCTCAGGTCCAATAAAATCTCTCATTAGCTGTGGAGCATCATTCCTTTTTTCCTGCTTCTTCTTACTCTTTCTAACACCCTTCATCTTCTGATTCATTAGTACCCAACATCCAGGACAAGAAGAGTCCATTTGCCTAGACAAAATGGAAATGCACAAGAATTATAAGGGCTGGGAGTGTAGAGCATTTGTTTAGCAGGTACTAGGCTTTGGGTTTTATCCCTAGCACTGCAAAACAAACAAAAAAATCCCCCACAACAATTAACCTTTATTTATAATTCTAAAAATATGTGCTTCCTACTTTTAGGGTTAGAAAGTGATGTTTTCTTTATGAAGTGATAAAAAAATGGCAGTTGGTCTTCAAAAAATAACTTTTTTTTTTTGTCTTTTTGAGACAGTGTCTCACTATGCATTTCAGGCAGGCCTTGAGCTCACTTTGTAGCCCAGACTGGTCTCGAACTGTCTCAACTTCCCAAGAGCTGGGATTACAGGCATGAGCCACCATGCCCAGCAAAAAATAACCTTTTTTTTTTTTTTGGTCTTTTTGTTTTTTATCAGTACCAGGGATCGAACTCATGACTGCCTGCTTGCAAGGCAGGCGCTTATGCTGCTGAGCTAAATCCCCAGCCCCAAAATAACTTTTAATAAAAATGAAAATTCAGAAACCCTAAAGCTGTTGTAAAACTTTTGGGGAAAGTAATTTTGTACATAAAACCGAGATGTTTGGGCACATTTATCTACTCTATGCTGACAAGCTGGGGCACTGTGTGAGAGGAAAAAGCAGAGTGGAAGGAGGAAGAGAAAGAGAGCTAGATATACAGACAGAGAGCCAGAGACAGAGAGACAGAGAGACTG